GTTTTGCGAGATCTCGCAAAACAAACTCGGGATCTCGCAATACTTTTGCGAGCTCTCGCAATACTTTTGCGAGATCTCGCAAAAGTCCGTCTTAATTTTTTTTTTTCTCCCTAATTTTTTTTTTTCTCCCTAATTTTTTTTCTCCCATGTCCCCTGCGGGGCGCCGTAGTTTTGCGAGATCTCGCAAAAGTCCGTCTTAATTTTTTTTTCTCCCATGTCCCCTGCGGGGCTCCGTAGTTTTTGTCTGCTTCCATTTGCCTTTGCACTAGGATGATGTCGGTGTAAATGTGCAGTCATATTCATTGGATTCCCACTAGTGCTGTCAGCGTTAATCTCCTTAAAATGACATTAACGCCATAATGCGGCAAATCTGTTAACGAGTTACTGCGGATCGGTAGATTAGTTCAGCCATATTTTCTTTATGTCTTATTAATTTGATAACCCATAATATTGACTATCGCGTACACACAGTGTTGGGGAGTAACGGAATACATGTACCGCCGTTACGTATTTAAAATACAAAATATGAGTAACTGTATTCCGTTACAGTTACCGTTTAAAAAGGTGGTATTCAGAATACAGTTACTTTGTTGAAATAAATGGATTACACTGCGGTACTTTCCTGTTTCATATTGTCGCGGGTCAGGACTGTTTGGGTTTTGTTTGACAGCTGCGTTCTGTTGTTCCAGGCGGCAGCGTTACGGTTGCCATGGTTACAGGGCGACGCTCTCTCTCTCTCTGCGACTGTGTGTTTCCTGGGTGAGAGAGCGCCTTTTCGTTGTTGTTGTTGTTGTTGTGCTAAGCTAATAGGCAGAATGCTACAAGCATAGCTCTAAAGAATGTAGCATCATGGGCAGTGTAGTCCGTGCTGCAGGGAGAATGGACTGCCATACACGTTATGGGTCTGTGAGCGAGGAGGGAGAAAAAGGGGAGTGGAAAGGTACGAGTTGTCATCGAGGAAAAACGGGAGCTGGAAGCATGTAAATATAATAACAACCACTTCAGCCAAGAAGAGTGCCTGACGAGCCCAGTTGTAAGTAAACTATTAAGACTCGACTGTACACCGTGTTCGTGTTTTCCTCCGAAAACAATTGGAGCAGTCTTTCAACGCCTCTCTCTGTCTCTCGCAAGAAAAGTTGACCCACACAACAAAGTAAAGGTATTTTTCGGCTACGAGCCGACAGAGACCCCGCCGTATTAGTCAGAGGTCCCTTTACTACAGTTCGGAGACGCGGACCTTCAGTAATAGTAATAAATCACACAGCATTAGTACATTCACGTTGTTGTAAAAAGCATGATAATATATTAAGTAATCCAAAGTATTCAGAATACGTTACTGTCATTGAGTAACGTAATGGAATACGTTACAGAATACATTTTGGGGCATGTATTCTGTATTCTGTAATGGAATACATTTTAAAAGTAACCTTCCCAACACTGCGTACACATACATTTTAAGAATGTATTCATATGTGTGTTTATGCCAGAACATCAAACAAATCTTATATGAGTTTGTATTAGATTATTATATAATTATTATATAATCTAATATAATAAATTAGATTATAATATAATATATTATAATATAAATACTCTAAATAGATTATATTAGAGTAAATACAATCTGCAAAAAAAAAAAATGCAAATCACCCAAACCTAGCTGGACCAATAATGCCCATGATCAGTGTATTTACACTTTTGACTCTACATCATCATCTGGTTGTGTGTTAGTCACACAAACTTGAAAGGCAGTTAGTAGGTGACAGTTCAAGAATAATGAGTACACTTTGCACTGTAAGCACTCCTTCACTAACTCTGTGCTATTCTGTTTACACATAATTCAGGAACAGGCATCAGGAACAGGCTACGGGCTCGCGCACACCGCGCACCCATGCCCAGTATCCTGCTAGCCAATGTTCAATCCATCGAGAACAAGCTTGATGACCTCAGAGCCAGAATCAAGTTCCAGAGAGACATTCGGGACTGCAACCTCCTCTGCTTCACCGAGACTTGGCTGAACCCAGCGATACCAGACCACGCCATGCAGCCGACGGGGTTCTTTTCGGTTTACCGCATGGACAGGACAATGGAGTCGGGGAAGAAAAGAGGTGGTGGAGTGTGTTTGATGGTGAACAACAGATGGTGCGACAGCACAAACATCTCCCCACTCACACGCTCTTGCTCGCCCAATCTGGAGCTTTTGATCGTTAAGTGTCGCCCTTTCTATCTCCCTCGGGAATTCACTGCGGTCATTGCCTGCACTGTTTACATTCCGCCTCACGCGGACTCGGACACTGCCTTATGTGAGCTACATGAGGCTCTCACACATCAACAAACACTTCACCGAGATGCCGCACTCATTGTTATGGGAGATTTTAACAGAGTGAATCTCAAACGGACATTTCACAACCTTCACCAGCACATCAACTGCCCCACCCGGGGCACGAGGACATTAGACCACTGCTACACCCCGTTCAAGAACTGTTACAAGGCTCAACCCCTGCCGGCATTTGGAAAATCGGACCATTCCGCCATCTTCCTCATACCTGCTTACAAACAAAGGCTAAAGCAGCAACCACCAATCAGGAGGGAGGTCGCTCGCTGGACGGACCAATCGGTGGCCGCGCTGCAGGACGCACTGGATGACGCACTGGATGACGCAGACTGGGACATGTTTCGGCGCAGCTCTGATGACATCAACATGTTTACGGAAGCGGTTGTGGGATTTATTGGGAAACTAGTGGACGACACAGCAGAAAGAACTATCATCCGAACGTTTCCCAACCAGAAGCCGTGGGTGGATAAAAACATCCGCGACGCTCTGAGATCACGCACCGCTGCCTACAATGAAGGGCTTGTCTCCGGTAATATGGACCTATACAAGGCTGCGTCCTACAACGTGCGCAGCGCGGTCCGAAAGGCAAAGCGGAGCTACGGGGAAAAACTAGAGTCACAGCTACGACAGTGCGACTCTAGGAGCCTGTGGAAAGGACTGCGGACTATAACGGACTATAAACGACCAGCTTCTTCAATGATGAATGCCGATGCTTCACTGGCTGATGAGCTGAACACGTTTTATGCTCGCTTCGACGCCGCAGCAATTAAAACAACAAACGGCTGCGCGCGCTCGGAGTGCACCAGTGAAGAAAATGCATTCGTCATCACAGAGCATGCCGTGAGGAACACCTTCAGGAGGGTGAACACCAGGAAGGCAGCAGGACCAGATGCAATCCCTGGCCGGGTCCTTAGAGCCTGCGCTGATCAACTAGCACCGGTGTTCACGGAGATCTTCAACCTCTCCCTGGCCCAAGCTGTGGTTCCCACGTGCTTCAAACGGTCCATTATTGTCCCTGTTCCAAAGAAACAACAGCCCGCTTGCCACAATGACTACCGTCCAGTAGCACTGACTTCAATTGTGATGAAGTGTTTTGAAAGACTGATGAGAGATCACATCACTTCTTCACTTCCTCCCACCATCGACTCACTTCAGTTTGCTTACCGGACTAATCGTTCCACAGACGATGCCATATCTCACCTGCTCCACACATCCCTGAGTCACCTGGACACTGGCAGAGGGAATTATGTTAGGATGCTGTTCGTGGACTACAGTTCAGCATTCAACACAATAATTCCCTCTAAGCTTTTCACCAAGTTGATGGATCTAGGACTCAGCTCATCACTGTGTCAGTGGATCCTCAACTTCCTCACAGACAGACCCCAATCAGTGAGGGTGGGAAAACAAGTCTCCCCCTCCATCTCACTCAGCACTGGAGTGCCTCAGGGCTGTGTTTTAAGCCCCCTGCTGTACTCACTGTACACTTATGACTGTGTAGCCACATCCGACACCACCTCCATTGTCAAGTTTGCTGACGACACTGCTGTTGTGGGCCTGATCTCCGACAACATCGAGACGGCCTACCTGGAGGAGATTAGGAACCTGGAGACCTGGTGCCAGGAGAATAACCTCCTCCTAAACATCAGCAAGACTAAGGAGCTGATCGTGGACTTCACTACAAAGCAGGTGAGGAATTACAAACCCCTCATCATCAGTGGCACGCCAGTGGAGAGAGTGGACAGTTTCCGATACCTGGGTGTCCACATCACTCAGGACCTGTCATGGTCCTGTCACATCAACACCCTGGTTAAGAAAGCCCGTCAGCGTCTCTTCTTCCTCAGAAGACTTAGAGACTTTCATCTGCCACTGAAGGTGCTCAAGAACTTCTACTCCTGCACCATCGAGAGCGTCCTGACGTCAAACATCTGCACCTGGTTTGGGAACAGCACCAAGCAGGATAGACGAGATCTGCAAAGGGTGGTGCGCTCGGCAGAACGCATCATTCAATCAGAGCTCCCTGACCTGCTGTCCATCTACACCAAGCGGTGCAAGTCCAAAGCTAGGAAGATTATGATGGACCTCTCCCATCCCAACAATGGACTCTTCTCACTGTTGAGGTCTGGGAAGCGCTTCCGCTCCCTTAAGGCCAAAACAGAGAGAATGAAGAGGAGCTTCTTCCCCCAGGCTATTCGGGGCCTGAACCAGGTGTAGGACTGGACTCTCCCAAACACGTCACTATAAGACTGGACTCTCACACACGTCACCACACGCACCACCACACATTTCCTATAATCCTATAATTCCTATAATTTATAATCCTTATCTTTATAATCTCTTCTGCTATTTGCACATTCTTTACTGTAAATTCCTAAGTTAATTTGTAAATTTTTGTAGTAAATTGTAAATATTGTAGAACTTTTCTTCTGTCATTTAATGGTCGGGCATTGTACAGCTACAAGCATTTCACCCCCATGTCATACTGTGTATGGTTGTGTGTGTGTGACAAATAAAATTTGAATTTGAATTTAATTGTCAAAATCCACCATATTTGTATTTTACTTTTCTATTAATTCAGGAAAATGTCTCACTGACTCCTTACGATAACCTTTAAATGTGCGTGCAAAATGATTTTGAGACTTAAAGGAAACAGAGATGCATATAGGATTTTAAGAAATTTATTCGTTAATTTTTTTCCACAAACCGAAAATTATATTTAGTTACAAAATTTTCAATAATTTTTTAAGGTCTGGTGAAATGGGAGGAAACATTGTGACAGTCATATGAAAAGCTGGGATGTGATGCTGTTGTTTCATCAGCTAAGAGAACAAGACCAGAGAGATCAGCGTTGTGACAAAGAGCAGACGGCCAACAGCTGTAGTGCCAGCAGTTGTACTACTGGGCTGTGATGTAGTTGTCATCCCAGCACTGTTGCAGAGGTCACCCTGGCAGCAGCTGATTTCTGCTGCAGTGATTCCTGTGATCTGTGGAGATTGTGTGCTTGAGCAAATCAGCTTGGAGGCGCAGCCCTTTACAGTCACCTTTTGTCCTTCTGCAGTCACTGAGGAAATGAAAGGAAGGAATAACAGAACATTTGTCTGAGCAGAAAAGAACAAACATGCAGACACTGAATCCTGTCGGTATATTACTTGCTGATGAGATGCAGTGGTCCTCATTTCCGTTGCAGTTTAGAGTTTGTGTGCAATCGTTTCCAACACATTGGAAGCACTTTTTCCCATTTGGAGATGAGATGCTGCCCTCTGTTGAATACAGAAATATTTGTAATATTTGTTTCCCTGCTTATTTTAACTGTGTGCCAAAAACATCAGCTTGGAAAAAAACCCAACAGAAAACAAAAGAAAAACCATTTATGTTACTAATATGTTTGTTTGAGAATTTTCAATCAGGAAATTTTCACAGATTGATTATTTTGCCCTGATCTATTCAAGCAAATACGACGATTGACCCACTTTAAAATTTCTCAACATATTTGATAAAAAGATTTTTTATTTTTTAAGTTTCAAGAACAGGAAATTAGATTTCAAAATACCAAGAAGCATGATAGAAATTACCAGGGGCATCTTGAGAGTTGCAAAGATCAGAGGTGCAACACTTGCTGGTAATTAGAGTTCGGGCGCCTCCAAAGTTGATTGAGGCCTGAACACACTCCTCAGCCGCAGCACAACTTTTACCTTTAATATCAACCAGTTTTGAACCACCTGCAACAAAAAGACGAACCATTGAAAACTGAACCAGTTTAAAAGAAGAATAAAATAAAAACTATACAAAATCAGACCTGCATATGAAGCTATTCTGACTGATGCACACTGAGTGTTGGAAGGACATTCTTTTGTTGTCTGAGCGCAGCTTCCAGAGAGGTCCGGTATGCATTCGTAACATTTCAAAGCACAGGCTGATAAAACAAAGATAAAGACAAGTAAACTTTCTCTTGCTTCCAATGCATGGACATATTCTAAAACATTCACTAAAACAGTTTGAAAAATAGATGGCTAACAGTACAATAAATAGTGCAATCATTTGTAGAATTGACAAACCTTTACTAAGATGTAATGACACTTGTTGTAAAAGCATTAAAAAAGAAAACATTTCATTGAATATTACAGAACTTGCTGGTTTAAAAATGTTAAAGAACAGATAACTGAACAAAAACTTGCCTTTAGGGAGCAGCACAATCCCAAGGATCAGCACAAAGATCTGCATTGTGTGATGGTCAGATAGAAGTGAATTTCTGTTTAGTTTCTGTTCAGTTTATAAGTAATTCTTATTGGGGGGAAGTGGTCTTCTTGCTGTGACCACTCCTTAACTCCTCCTTTGACAATGAAAGAACCTGACTATCAAAAACAAGCCTTTGAAACAGCATATATGTATATATGAATAGACTTCATAGAACCTATATCTAGATAATTAAATTGGTATTAGTTAGAATTCTCCAAAGTTAAAATAGAATAACATAGAATACCTGAATCTCAACATATGTATGAGGAAGAATAATATCTATTAAAACTAGTTTAAAAACCTGTTTAGTTCCAGTTTGTTTATTTGTTTGAAGTTTTAGTGATAATAAAATGCCTTATTGATTTTTGTATCAGTGTATTGATGACAGGTGGCTATATATATGCTTCTATTCATAGCTGAAGTTTTAGTGTTATTAAATTGCTGATTTTTGTATCATATATTTGATGGAATATTCTTTAAAGTCGTTTCATTCTATTGCTAAAATATGTTTAGGCTGCATTTAGGCTGCAAATCATTTTCTTTTAGAACGGACGTGAATTGTTTTTTTTTTCTTTGATAACCAGTGACTGTTTCAGTTGTCAGCAGAGTATGTTTTAACCATGCAACCACTCTAGTGGCACTGAATGAAAAAAAAACTGACTGTGATGCATGCTACATGCATTCTACAATACAACATATATCTTTAAAAAACCAGGCCCACCAGTTCTCTCTTTCATTTTTACCATACTTTTTACAAAGGTAATAACAAGACAGAAATCTGTATTTTCACCTTATAAAACATGTTAAGTATCAGTGCATCAAAACTGAAACACAGTCAAGAATGACTTGAATTTAAAAACTATTCTCGCATTTTTATTAGACATGTGCTGAGAGAAGACACTTTCTTTTCCTGCTCACCACCTCTGCACAGGCTGTAACTTTATCTGTAACTATCAGAATTCCTGAGGACAGTCCCAGGACACTATAGAACAAGCAGGACTCAAAGTCTGAATAATTATATTTATTTTATGTCCCAGTGATGTTTTTTTTTTTTCAACATCCCATTCAGCTGCACTTCTTTTGTCTTTGTGTGATCTGATCAGTGAAATAAAACTGTACATAAGAGCAGTTAAAACGTGTCAGCAGAGCAGACGACTGTATTCAGAGAGGGCCGAGGACTTTTTCACACCATCCCAGATACGAGCTGCATAGTGAAACCTGTGAAAACAAAGAAAGTTAAGACAGGAAACAGAGGGATAAACTTAAACGAAATCCCAATAATGTCTCAAGATTTCACAAAATTACAGTGACATAGTACAAAGAAGAAAAAAATCCAAATATTATGCATTTCTGCACCAACCTTAATTATTAACACTTTTACTTTCTTTATATGGCATGGAAATATGTTTCTTTTCACTGTAGTATTTCATTTTCAATTGATATTGTTTTAAGCATGTTCAGAAAAAAATTAACCTGATATCCCACAGCAAGAAATATTTTTCACTACTCTGAAAGTTTTGTGCTTGTAGGTACATGCAGCAAGTTGCACCTCAGAAAACTATTTCACAACAAACCACCAGCGCTCATTTTCTGTTGTTTACAAAAAACAAAACAAAAAGACAGCAGGTTGTAGTCACTGAAAGTAAAGGGAAGCAGAGAGACCCCTCATCTCTAATAGATATTTTGCATTTCTTCCACAGGGATTAAAAACTGTTTCTATGAGAGTTCAAAAACAATGACATTTATGATGGCTTTGTTGAGCAAACCAGTTTAAAACATAAAACTGATTCTCACCCTGGGTGCAGGATGTATTTACTTGGTTGTCTCACTTTTTTTTACCATGGATTAGTCACCTACACTTTTTGAATAGTGGAATATGAATAAAATAATTATTCATTTATATATAAATAGTACTGATATGATGTTTACCAGTTTTTCTCAGTGAGAATAGTGTGTGACAGCTGACAGCGGGGCATGGCCGGTGTTTGGCTGCAGAGTTTTGAAACCATGGTGGAAAAGGCCGGGTGTCCTCTATAGCCGGGGAGCAGAGAGAACAGTGGGTACGTTCCTGACCCTAAACAATATACAAAGATTTATTTACTTGTCACACAACACACGAGATGTCACTTGAGTTTTACCTTATGAGAAGAATAAATGTTTGTAACCTGCTTTGGTCAAATTATCCTCCCCGTCATTTTCCTGCACAGGAAGCAAAAACATATTGACCTCGGTTGTCAGATAGTCCTGCCCCAGGCCTGGGAAGACATTGCAGTCAAGCATGGATAATGTTCCTGAGAATAAAACACATGTTATAGTTGTGGCCAGCCTGTTAATCCACTTCAGAAGTGATGCTTTGTTTACAGGACTACAAAACCAAACACATTCACTAAAAACCTTTGAACAGTCACAAAATATCATTTTGCTCACAAGTACAAAGCAAACAAAAGGTTTTCATCTAGAAACACCATAAACCTGATGGAGCCTTTTACCACTCCTGAATGCACATTTAGAACTTTTGGGTTAAATCATCAGTGATATGTATGGAGGTCAGAAGAGAGGCACAACAGTGATTGTCTACAGCCATCTGTATAACATGGTAGAGGGTCATAGTTTGGGGAGGTATTTCAGCCAGTGGTGTTGATAGAGTTATGAATGCAGAAAAGGATTAATTTTGACATTGATCATGGGAGAATGATCCCAAACACACTGTCAATGCCATGAAAGCATACCTGGCTAGAAAAACACTCACAGGAACACTATCAGTCTGGGGGTGGGCGCTATAAACCCCCCACCCAGAAATTCTTCTACCCAGCAACTGCGTTGAGGATATATCTCTATATACTCCTGGATAAGGAAAAATAGCAACAGCATGAGTATCGGATGAGCAAGGGAATGAGACTCGCTATTGTTTGACTTTCACAAGGAGGATGCCAAACAAAATGGGGTAATTTGCGAAACATGCTGTAAAATTATGCCCCTAAAGGTATCAGTACCACAAGTTCAACTGCAAAATTAAGACCAATTTAAACTCTGCATGTCAATGTCTCCCCACACCAAAGAAAACCTCAAATAAACCATCTGTGATAACAGTGACTGTTCTTGGTCAGTCGTTTTTATAGTCATTATGTAGACTTTTGTCTCTATAATTTGAGGTCATCACATTTTTTTATATGTTGTAAAGCACAAAGGAGCACCTTTTTAATTTCAGTTGTTTTGTCTCGTGAATTATTGCTCAAAGTTTTTTGTGCTGCTATGATCTTTATTTGTTAAAGGTGTAGTGTTGACCACAGAAAGAGACTTACTGTGACAGCATAGTCATTTGTGAAAAATCCCTGTATGAAACTGATGGTTACTGTTAAAATAAAACATGTCAATTCATTCAGATTCTTTGTAGAAAAAATTTAAATGAGTACACCAGTGTCATTTTTGGCACTGCATGATTGAAAATGACACTTGTTTTGGAGGTTATTTAAACATATCGCGATATATATCATGTATCTTGATATAGTAAAAAAATTACACAATGTTAGATTTTCCTCATATTGCCCAGCCCTATATCAGTCATGGATTGGCCTCCCCAGAACTTGGACATCAAAAATAATTAAAACTGTTTGCAATCATCCATAGAAAATGTAACAAAAGGCAGCCAACGTCGAAAGAAGAGTTTTGACTGTCCTTCAATAAATGTGGAGAACAGTTCCTGAAGACTGCTTAAAGAAATGATAACAAAACTTTCCTAAGAGAGTTCAGGAGAGAAAAAGTAGTCATTCCAAATACTGACTTTAAAGTTTCGTATTTTCCTTATACACTGCATTTCCATTCATGTTTTGAGGGGTGACTCAAGATTTGCACAGTAAATGGTAAATGGCCTGTATTTGTATAGTGCTTTTCTAGTCCCTAAGGACCCCAAAGCGCTTTACACAACCAGTCATCCACCCATTCACACACACATTCACACACTGGAGATGGCAAGCTACATTGTAGCCACAGCCACCCTGGGGCGCACTGACAGAGGCGAGGCTGCCGGACACTGGCGCCACCGGGCCCTCTGACCACCACCAGTAGGCAACGGGTGAAGTGTCTTGCCCAAGGACACAACGACTGAGACTGTCCAAGCCGGGGCTCGAACCGGCAACCTTCCGATTACAAGGTGAACGCCCAACTCTTGAGCCACGATCGTCCCAGTACTTTAAATGTAGATAATTTCTTACCATTTACTTAACTTTTTTTTGCCACCATATCACATTCATTTTCTTCTACCAGCTCCCTTACTGGCATTCATTACTACTTACACATAAAACATTAACATAAAGAGAAATTTGTTGTAGTTTTGCACCTTTGTATTTGAGGTGAGAATGAGCCATTAATTTGTTGACCACCATATGCATGTTCTTCAGATTTCTTGGGCAGAAATCATCCCGTCTGGCCTTGTTCTGGAGGAAAACTGGGGGAGAAAGAAATTTAAACTTTGACATGCTTAAATTTGGTTTGTGTGTCAAATATAGCGCGTCAGCATTAAACAGCCACCTATATGTGGATAATACTCTGCTCCGTCATCACTGCCTGAAGAGCCGGTGCTGTCGTGGCTTGCAGATGGTGTGGAAGGTTTCAGCATCTCAGCAGTCTGAAGAAACCTGTCCATAAAGGTGACACCATAATATAACTTCAGCTGTGGAATCAATTTGTGTCACAAGAAGCAATAATAATGAGAATTAGATCATTTTACTGAGTGGAAAGAGTACAGGTAAAATTTGCTTGGATAGTTACATATGTAAATATACAGAATCTGCCATTTTCCTGCTGTGCCAATGTGAGATGCTACTTGGCAATAGCCCTGGTAAAAACCATTGTTTGGTAATCTGACATTGATTTTTCACCAAAGGATGCCAAAACAATACATAATCATATCAATATTTGTGCTGATTAAAACTGTAGCTTTCTACTACAGAGATATCATTTTAAGCTATGTACAAAGCCAGTGAAAACTTGCTTTTAATGGCAATATTTTCAGCATTAGGCAAGAATGCTATGCAAAGGGAAAAGGTTTTTAATCACATAGCCAGAGTTGCTCAGATTGTTTGTTATGCTGTGTGAAGAAAATGAGTCATGAACTGATCCAAATGGATTGTGGCGTACAAAAGGTAATAAATGTCAGCACATGTTAGATGGGCATGGAGTCTGACATTTTACACAGGTCTGGATTTGCCTGTTTAAAATGTCAGACTGGCTGAAAGAACAACATTGCTGAGCTTATGAAAAAGCAAAAACAAATATCCTTTTAAGATATAGCATGAAATGTTCAGCATTCCTTTGAGAGTATTGGGCTTTAAAATTATAATCACAACCATCTTGAGAGCACAGGTCCATCGCAGACCTAAAATACTCACCTGTAAAGGTTCAAATCAGTGAACCAGTCTTGAACCACAATTACAACATGGCACACTGTAAACAGGAAGGCAGCGATCTGAAGAGACTGTAGAAGAATTA